AAATTCCTTGAGGTGAAGTGGTTCTGGGGGCCACAGCCCACAGTCGGGGGTGTCTGAGCGTCAGGCCAGCTGCCATGAGAATGGGCCGCACGCTGCCCTTCTCAGGCTGCTGTGACTGCAGCTTCCCCCCGCCGGGTGCTCAGGGATTCCTCAAGTCCAGCCCCCACCCACGCCACTCCCCGCCCTCTCGTGCCCACGTCTCCAGCCTTGAGCGGGACTGGACTCCTCTCGTTGTGACAGGATGCCCTTCCTTTCCAGAGCAACGTCATCTTGATGGCAAAGCAGAGCTGTTCACCATGTGGCATCTTTGCTACCACCTGGGGGATGTCATCGGAAGTCGGTCTCTCCCTGCTACATGCGATTTTTAACATAATTTGCATCATTTGCAAAAGCAGTTTCCATTGTGAGCACATTTCCAGATTTGCAGAGTGTGTTGGGGAAATTGGATTTAATTTGCAGGAAGTGGTTTTAGAATTGCTTTCTTTCTCTCACCCTTGCGAACCTTGGCCACCTTGGCCGAAATGCTGCTAGTGGGTAAAGGGAAGTGATCATCCCTGCCCAGGGGAGAGGGTGCTGTGCCCACTGAGCCCTAGGGGGTTCTGGTGGGGTGGGCAGATGGCCTGAGGCCAGGCATCAGTGTTGCCTCTTCCTCATGCCTCAGCTCCTTCCTGGGTGACAGGTGGTCCCCAACACCTATAGGCACTAAGTCGGCAACTCCGTCACACATAGCCCAGTTTGGCCAGCTCTTCCGAGTTTTCCAGGAATGTTGGAGGTCTGGGTGCTGTGTGACTTCCTGGGTCGAGTCCCCCCGGATCCTCTGAGTCAGGCAGGACAGGTTTCTGGACCCATTTTGTGGATGGAGAATCGGCGTGGCCGTCACCATTGGAGGCTGGCACCATCCTCGGGTTGGCAACCAAAGGGGTCCCCCCAGTGGGCCAGGTGGGCCTGTATGATGCTTTCCTTTTTGGCAGAGGGGTCTATCCCAGAATCTCTGGGAGTCCTGGGATGCTGGCTAAAAGTGGACATGGGGCCCTGGGTTTAAGGTGTGTTGGGGGCAGATGCAGCAGGATCTGCTGAAGACAGTGGAGTTTGATGAGCCTGAACCTCCTCTTCCTTCAGTAAGGCTGAGCTGTCTAATCTGCAGTCCTGGTGATGAGGGCTGGGGTAGGGGTGGGGGACTGGCACTGGGGTGGGACCCCTGCCTCCTCCTGCTTCCACAGAGGGCTGGGCACCTGCAGGTCTGTCCTGAGCCAGAGCTGGCCTGCGTGGTGGTGCAGGCGCCTCTGACCCCAGCAGCTTGGGGTGAAGCAGGGGGTGTGGTTAGGGAAGACGCTGGTTGTGTCACCCAGGGTGGGGACTCTCTGTCCCAGCTTCTAGCTGTTCCTAGGGGGAGGGAGGTGTGTAAGCAGCAGAGGGAGACTCAGGGAGATTCCCAGTGCTGATGCACTGCCCCAGATGCTGGGCAGCAGGAGTTGCTGAGAACTGGGACCAGGCTTCAGGAGAGAAACTGTCTTAACTTCCACATAACTGGCAGAGTGATGTTCTTGGTGGTGCCGATTTCCCCCCAACATTCTACCCCAGGTTCCTTCTCTGAAGTTCAACGTTTCTTTATTGAGGTGAAACTCACACAAGATAAAGCTAACTGCTTTGCAGCGAGCCGTCCAGTGGCGTTTGGCTCGTTCACAGAGCTGAGCAATTTCCAGCAGTCAGCCCATCCCCCACCCCATGCCACTCCAACCCCGCTCTCAGTCCCTGCAACCACCAAGCTGCCTTCCACCTCTGGGGATTTACCTTCCCGGATGTTTCATAAGACACATGGCCTCTTTCACTCACTGTGAGGTTCTGAGGTGCATAGTGAGGTAGCTGGTGTGAGAGATCACCCTTTTAATAGAGTGATACTGCAGCGTGTGGACCTATTGGGGCTTCCCAGGTCGTGCTAGTGGTAAAGAACCCACCTGCCAATGCAGGAGACGTAAGAGACGCAGGTTCAGTCCCTGGGTTGGGAAGACCCCTGGAGAAGGAAATGGCAATCCACCCCAGTTTTCTTGCCTGATGAATCCCACGGACAGAGGAGCCTGGTGGGCTACGGTCCATGGAGTCACGCAGAGTTGGACATAACTGAAGCGACTTAGCACACACACAAGTGGACCTACCAGGATTTGTTTATTCATTCATTTGCTGATGCTTCTTGGGCTATTTCCACATTTCTGCTGTTATGTGTGCTGTGACCAGAGACGGGATCTTACTGTCCACTTGCAGTGTGACGTTAGTCAAGGCATTGTCATCTCTGGGCTTAGATGGGCCATTGACAAAATAGAGGGAGTGGGACCAAAGTCCTGGGCCAGTTGAGTCTCAAGTTGGCATAGGCTGCCCACACCAAGAGGCCACCCTGACTGATCTCTGCTCACCCAGAAAGGACCACCCATGGTGAGTGGGTGAGGGTGGGTTTCCACCCAGTTTCAGCTTGGTGGCCTGTTCCACACCTGCTCCAGCCAGCGCATTCTGCTTCCTACCAAGTCTACCCAGTTCTGTGTTACCTCATGGCCAGCTCCAGGCCTTACTCAGCTCCACTGGGTTTTAGACAGCTTAGCCCAGGATGGGCATGACCTCCCCAGCACAAGAAGCATGCCAGTGAGTTCTGGCCAGCCCCTGGTAAAAACTCTGCGGATCGTGTGCTAAATGTTTGAGGTGGAGCGGGGAGGAGGCATGACTAAGTTAATTTCCAACTCTGAGAAGACCACTTGGTCATCCCCGCACTTTCAGCTGTGCTGTGTGACCTTGGCAGCTCACATAACCTCTCTGAGCCCCGTCTCCTGAGATGGGGTAGAACCGTCTCCGAGCCTGCTGGGGAGTTGATTTGTGGCTGGCACTTTCCAAGCCACTTGTCCCAGCCACCTTCACTTGGGCGCACCTTAACCTCCCCCGCCCAGCCCCTCCCAGCTTGTGCCACTGCCCCAGGGACGGTGGCCTGGCACGTGGCAGCCCCAGGAACACGCCACAGGTCTCAATCAGGGCCCACTGCCTGGGGACAGACAAAGCAACAGATTGCGGGCCGCACCCTTCCTCCCCTGACGGCCGTGGGCAGGTCCAGGCCTGCCTGCTCGGGCACTGCCAGGCGATGGCCAAGCTGACTCCTGTGGCCCCTTGCCAAGGACCTGGAGACCAGCCCAGGGGAGACATCGCCTGGGCTTGGGTGGGGGCAGTGGGCAGAGTGGGCTCTGCCCACCTCCCCTCCCTGAAGGACAGGGATTCCAGATGTGCCTGGCATGGCCACTGCCATGGTGTCGGGGCTGCTTTGGGTGTGACTGGGACATGGGAACTCTCAGGAGGGGTGGTGGTGGGGACAAAGGCCAGCAGACAGAGGGCCGGGGCCCTAAGCCCTTGGCATCTCCTGTGAAGGGGGGCCATTCATGCCGTGACCCCCCTCCAGTGACAGAGCAGATTCTCTGCCTCGGCCTTGGTGGCTGCCTCGCCAGGTTGGCATTGCTGTTGCATAACAGGCTGCCAGCAAGGATCCCACCGCAGAGGTGAAAGACCGCCCAGCACCGCAGCAGTTGGGCACAGTCAGGCTCCTACCCGGGCCTCGGCTCCAGCCTCAGCTGGGCCCTGCACCTGCCCTTCGGCGGGGCGGGGGGGGTGGGGGTGGGTGGGCGGGACACAGAATCTGAGCTGTCACTGGCTGCTGGGGCATCAGGAGCCCTGAAACCTGGCTTGAGTCTCCCGCCCAGGCTAAACCTAGAAACACAGTCCATAATAATAATGACCACTCGTGTTCCAGTGTAATTATGACCCAGACACAGCGGAGACTTTTATCTTCTTGTTTTGTTTTTATTTTTTAATTTAGTTTTTATTGAAGTATAGTTGATCTATACTTCCTGGTAGCTCAGAGGGTAAAGAATCCACCTGCAGTGCTGGCGACCTGGGTTCAATCCCTGGGTTGCGAAGGTCCCCTTGAGGAGGGCATGGCAACCCACTCTGGTTTTCTTGCCTGGAGAATCCCCATGGACAGAGGAGCTTGGTGGGCTGCAGTGCGTGGGGTTGCAAAGAGTTGGACACGACTGAGTGATTAAGCACACGGCACATAGTTGCTCTCCAAAATTGAGTTAATTTCTGCCTTACAACAGAGTGACTCAGTTATACACATATATACATTCTTTTTCACATTCTTTTCTGCTACAGTTTATCACAGAATATTAGTATAGTTCCCTGTGCCGTACAGTAGGACCTTGTTGTCCATCTATTCTAGACACAATGGTTTACATCTACTAACCCCAAGCTCCCTGTCCCTCCCCACCTTGGTAATCACAGGTCTGCTCTCTCTGTGTGTGAGTCCCGTTTCTTTTCTCCTCTTTCATTCTTTATTAATGTTTTTAATTTGGCTGAGCTGGGTCTTTGTTGCGCTGGGGGGCTTCTCTAGTTTTTCAGCGTGTGGGCTAAGTAGTTGGCAGTGTGTGGCCTTAGTTGTGGCCTGTGGGACTTTTGTTCCCTGACCAGGGACGGAACCGGGCCTCCTGCACTGAGAACTCGGAGTCTTAACCACCAAGGAAGTCCCCCTCGAGTCTGTTTTGTAGATAAGTTTATAACTTATACATGTAGCTGATACCCTATGATATCTGTCTTTTTCTTTCTGACTCACTTCACTTAGTATGATTATCCAGCAGAGAGTTGAAATTAGTGCTCCTAAGGTGCCCTGCAGCAGCCCCGTGAGGGGATGCTGTTGTCAGCCCTGCTTCACAGTTGATGGCTCTGAGAAGGTCTGAGGCCAGGCTGCCCCCACCCTTGGGTCTCAATTTCCACCCCCAGAAACTGCAGGATGAAAGGAGGGCTGGGTGGGGGCCTGCGCCCAGCCAGGACCCGAGGGTGTCCCCGAGTGGTCGTCCTTGGCTCCTTCTGCCACTTGTGCTTGAGGACACTGGCCAAAGGGCTCGGAGGCAGCCTCCCAACCCACCCTCTTGTTCTCTCCTCTCGCAGAGTGAGCTGCCCTCTGCCTGTGCTGGAAGATGTCCCAGTCCACCCAGCCCGCCGCCGATGAGGGGGCCACGTTCCAGCACCTCTGGAGTTCTCTGTGAGTGTCGGGCTCTGGGCAGTGGGGAGAGGGCTGGGCGGGAGCTGCTGCCCTGGGTTTTCTCCTGGAGTCGCAGGCTCCACAGTCTGGGCTTCTTCCTCTGACCAGCCCTCCAGAGGGCTTGGGGCAGGGAGAGGTCCAGGGGACAGAGCCTGTGGGTGGCCACCTCCTTGGGACCCACACCAGCCCTGGAGAGGCTGGTGGGACAAGGAAGCTGGGGCTTTGAGAGCTGAGGTTGGGGGAAGGAGCAGAGGGACAAGGGGAGATGTGGGCTGGCCTCACACCCTGGGCCTGGGCAGTCTAGGCTTACCGCTCTGCTGCCTGCTCTGTCTCCCTGTCTAGGGAGCCGGACAGCACCTACTTCGACCTTCCCCAGTCGGGCCAGGGGAATGAGGAAGTGGCAGGCGGTGCGGAGGCCGGCATGGATGTCTTCCACCTGCAGGGCATGAGCACGTCTGTCATGGTGAGTGGGGCTTCCCTTTGCAGGGGACTCGGTGGGGGTGGTGAATGTGAACTGTCCTGTCTCAGGAGCCTGCAGAACCAGGAGGCAGGCTCGCAGGTGCGGTTTCCTCTGTATGCTTATTAGCACGTTTCAGATCACAGAGTAGAAACTGTATCAGCTCATGTAACTGTCAGTCCAGGGGTAAGAAGCTTTTCAGGACTGGCTGGATCCAGATATAGTGAGACCTTCAGGTATGGCTGGATCTAGGTGTTCAAATGAATTCAGGCATGGCTGGATCCAGGTGTAGAGAGACCTTCAGGCATGGCTGGGCCTAGATGTACAGATGAATTCAGGCATGGCTGGATCCAGGTGTAGAGAGACCTTCAGGCATGGCTGGGCCTAGATGTACAGATGAATTCAGGCATGGCTGGATCCAGGTGCTCCGACAGCTGCCTCTCATTCTCTTGCTCTGCCTCTCCCATGGTGGATTTGTTCTTAGGCAGCGTCTCCTCTTGTGGTAGAGGCTCCAAGAGCAGCATCCTCCCTGTGGGGAAGGACCCCTCTTTGCCCAGAGTTCAGCACGCCCATCTCTAAATATGTCATGTGTCTATTCCTGAGCCGTCCCTGTATCATTGATGACCTGGGTGCCCTGAAGCAGGGTCAGGATGGAGTGGAGTATTGTGGGCTCCCCCACCACAGGCACTAACTTATGGGAAGAGGCCCCCGAAGGGGATGGAGCTGCTGTTTCCAGAGGAGGGTGATGGGAGGGGGCGTTGCAGGAGCACCCAAGGCCCCAACACCTGCCTGTCTTGCTACGTTTCAGGCCCTGCCGCGCTGGGTGGCCCTCTTAGCAGGAGGAGGTAGCTGGCCATACTCCTGCCAGGCATTGGGGTGCCAGGAGGTGGGGGGCAGGCAGGACACAAGAAGAGTGTGTAAGGACCCCCAGTCCTGGGGAAGTCCAGCAATGCCCCAGAACCCCCACAGTCACCTCCTCAGCATGGTGTCTGCTGGATCTGGGGCTGCTCAGTTCTGTCTGTGGGCTCCCTGCCCAGGGTTCCCTCAGGTGGGCACCTGTCTCAGGACCTTTGCTATGAGCATGAGGGAAGCACCTGGCTCTGATCTCAGGCGGCCTCGGACTGCAGTGGATTGAAGCAGGGTTTTAGTTGCTGGCCAGAGACTGAGGTTGGGCTGTGGCAGTGAGCGTGCTGAATCCTAACCACTAGACCACCAGGGACCAGTGGCCAGTGATGAGGCCCTGGCCCATCAGCTGTGTTGAAATGAATTCCCACGAAGACAGAAAGTAGTGAAAGCAGAAAAGTGCTTACTAGGAGGAAAAGGGTACATGTGAATAGACACATGGGTGGACTCCAAGGGAGAGTGTTGCGCCCTCTTGGGGGTTTGAACCACTTTTATGGGGCATTTCTTGCAGGTTTCCTGTGGCCAGTCAGGAACCTGGTCCTGAGTCCAAAGTTGGTTTGTCTCAGGTCTGGGGGCCCAGAAGGTCAGGAATCTGCCCACAATGTGGGAGACCCAAATTTGATCCCTGGGTCAGGAAGATCCACTGGAGGAGGGAATGGCAACCCACTCCGGTATTCTTGCCTGCAGAATTGCACAGGCAGAGGATCCTGGTGGGTTACAGTCCATGGGGTTGCAAAGAGGCGGACGGGACTGAGAGACTTTCACTTTCACTTCCTCCCCTGTGTGTGCACATCTCTTAGCCAAGATGGATTCTAGCGGAGAGGTCTGTGGGGGGGTTGACATCACTCACTGTGGGGTGACACCCTTCCCTTTGTCACCTCCAGGGAGCCTTTCTGAGCGTATGTAGTTGGGAACATCTCCTTGACCTCGAGAAAGAGGACTATGTTGTCTTCGATGTCTTATCTGGGCAGGGCTCAGCTCTGCTCTCTCCTGCTATCTGTTCGCTGGGGACGAAGCCCGGATGCTCAGCCTCTGTCCTCAGCTCTGCTCGCTGGGGGCTCCATGGACGGCTGCTGGCCTCACACAGAGCAGCATGAGGGCCTTGGGGCTCTGGCAGTAGGCTAAGGGCCAGGGTGCATGAGGGAGGTGGAGCCAGGAACTCTGGACGCAGGAAGAGCTCAGAGCCTGCCCCCTCCCCTCCAGGGGGGGCCCTCTGGAGTTGGAGAGACCCCTCCAGGAGTTGGAGCTCTTATCCCAGCACACACCCCTCTGAAAATAGTGGGGGTGGGGGGCTCCAGTCATGGGAATGAGCCAGGGTGAAAGGGTGGGGGAGGAGGAAAGGTCTCTGTGTTCTTTGTTGTTGTCTGGCCCAGGGCCCACTGGCCCGAGTGGGACAGGGGAAGGTACCTGCAGCCGGGATAGGTTGGGGGTTCAGGGGGTAGTCACAGGGTAGACCCCTGAGATATCCTTGCCTCTGAGGAGCCCCTTAGGCTAGACTGGAGGAAACTGCCTGCCCAGCCCAGCCTCCTGTCTCTATCCAGGAGACTGTCAGGGCAGACACAGCTGTTGTATTCCCATTTTACAGGTGAGGAAACCAAGGCAGATGCTGGGAAAGGGTAGGCCTCTGCTGGGCCAGGTAGTGCCATCTTGTCCGTTCAGATCCTTCCAAGTCAGCCAACACCTCCCCAGGGGCCAAGGGTCCTGACCTCTCACTTCCAGGTCCTCCTCTCCTGGACATTTGCATCCTCCACAAATGGGTGGGTCTCAGGCTGTCAGTAGTGATGCTCTGGGTTAGAATGCCTGGGGTGCTCACCCGAACCGTACTACCTGCCCTGCAGGGGGTAGGGGGAAAGCAGAAAAAGAGAAGACAGGCTCTACCTGTACTGGGGCCCAGGATGGTGTGCCTAGGGATTGGGCCTCCACTCTTTACTGGTGAATTTATTATTATTTTATTATAATGATCTTTTATTTTATTTGGCTGCATCAAGTCTTACTTGTGGCACACAGGATCTCTGTGAAGGTGTATGGACTCCCTCGTTGTGGCACGTGGACTCAGTAGTTGTGGCCCATGGGCTCAGTAGTTGTGACCCGAGGGCTCAGCAGTTGTGGCCCGTGGGCTCAGTAGTTGTGGTGTGCAATCTCAGTAATTGTGGTCCATGGGCTCAGTAGTTGTGGTGTGCAGTCTCAGTAGTTGTGGCCCGTGGGCTCAGTAGTTGTGGCCCATGGGCTCAGTAGTTGTGGCCCGTGGGCTCAGTAGTTGTGGCCCATGGGCTCAGTAGTTGTGGTGTGCAGTCTCAGTAGTTGTGGCCCATGGGCTCAGTAGTTGTGGCCCATGGGCTCAGTAGTTGTGGTGTGCAGTCTCAGTAGTTGTGGTGTGCAGTCTCAGTAGTTGTGGCCCATGGGCTCAGTAGTTGTGGTGTGCAGTCTCAGTAGTTGTGGCCCGTGGGCTCAGTAGTTGTGACCCGAGGGCTCAGTAGCTGTGGCCCGTGGGCTCAGTACTTGTGGCCCGTGGGCTCAGTAACCATGGCGTGCAGGCTCAGTAGCTGTGGTGCTTGGGCTCTGTAGATGCAATGCACGGGCTTAGTTGCCCCACGGTAAGGAATTCTCGTTCCCTGACCAGGGATTGAACCCACGTCCCCTGCATTGCAAGCTGGATTCTTAACCACTAGACCACCGGGGAAGTCCCTTTACTGGTGAATTTAAAACCCAACAGTGGAATTAAAGCGCAGCAGGGAGATGTGGGGTCACTCCAAGGTCAATTGTCTGGTCACCCAGGGCTTTCTGAGGGGGGGCCATCAAGGGTGGGGCAGCCGGGCTCTTGACTCAGTTGTATAGCTGGCGAGGTGTTTGTTGTTGGAGATTCATGTCTTTGAAGTGGGTGCCTCAGCCACCCAAAGCCGTGTTAGCCCTTACATCACAATCAAAAAGCAGACACCTGCCCTATACACACTTTGTGGAGCAACAGGAGCTGCCACCAGGCTCCAGGGCCAGAGGGCCCCTGAACACTGTCTCCTAAGGGGTCTATCTCCAGAATTCCATGAGCCCCTCCTCCTAGCTGCCCAGCTCATGCCCTTGAGGGTCAGCGGGCCTGGGAGACCCTGACGACCCAGCATCAGGAGAGGCCAGTTCTAGCGTCCTGTGGGGTGGGACACCTCTCTCGAGGGAGGATGTCTGATGCTGGCAGGTCTGGGCTGGCTGAGGAGGACTTCCCTCACAGCCATGGGGTAACAAGGATGGGACCCCCCCCCCCATCTCTGCCAGCAAGAGGACTGAGTCTGGCAGGTAGTAACAGCCCTCTTAGTAAAAATCCTGCGGCTTCCCAGAGGGCATCTGGGGATACCTGGAACCATGCTGGCCCTGGCTGAGGGCAAGGCTGGGTGAGGGAAGCCAGGCCTCCTCTGGGTGCCTCATCCTGACCCCCACCGGCCATCCAGAGAGCAGAGACTGGTCTAGGGGCCAGCATGCAGCCCAGCCCTTACCCTCATGCAGCCTGACATCACTCAAAGGCAAAGATGGGCCTCAGAGATGCAGCTGGACAGCTGACTGCAGAGCCCACTGCCAGGCTGCATTGTGGAAGGGCCAATGCCCGAGTTTTCTGGGGGCCTGGAGGGGCCCACGGAGCCCAGGGAGCTGGCAGGGAGCCTTGCAGAGCTGAACTGGGCGCTGTGATTTTAAAGTCCAACCTGGAAACCAATCCCTCTGGACAGAACGCAGCCCCGAGGACACTGCTGCTGAGGGTGGGAACCTACTGAGCCTGGGGTGGGTGGTGTCCTGAGTGCCTCACCCCCACCCCCATGGCTCCATCCCCACCCACCAGCAGGTCCACACCCTCATCAGGGAAAGTCTGGGGCTGGGGCAGTGAGGCTAGCCCCAACTCCAGGTTGGTGACAGATCAGGTGCTCCCTGGACCAGGCCTCAGGTCACAAGAGAGCAGCGAATGCACAGTCGAAAGCTCTCATCTCCACCAACCTTTCAGTTGTGACTCAGGCTCCGTGTAAAGGCTTGTGCACTTGAGCACATGCACACGTGCGCACACACACACACACACACACACGCGCCCCCACGCACTCCCTCTGGCCTCTGGCCTCTGTGACAGTGGGCAC